CATTCCTTGCCGTCCAACTCGTCCTCGCCCGTACCAGCCCGCTCCTATCATTCAGGCCCCGCTCTCCTTGTCGCAAACAGCATATCATGGCTCACGAACCGCCCGACCGTCTCATCGACGGTACTCTCCCCGCGCTGGGAGCGTCAATGCGAAGGGATCGAGCGCGCCACCTCGTTGCGAGACCAGATCGCGCGTCGGGGCCACGCCGTTGCGACGGAAGACGGGGACCGTTCCTGGCGTCGCATGCGCTCGCCGCTGACGCAAAAGGACCACAACGTGGACGCGATGGACAGGGAGTGCCGGCAGACATCTCGAACGGTGAGCAGCTTACATTTCCAACTACCTTGCTCGATCCTTCGTGTGTACGTGTCGACTAGGCTGGTCTCTGCGCTCGATTGCCCTGTCGCGTCGAGGATGCCGTCGACCTCGCGAGACGTGTGGATGCCGGGCCCGTATCGAGATGCAGGGCGAAGCTGGCTGTGCGGATACTGCATTTGACGAGGTGCGCGACGAGAGACGGCCAGGCCGGTTGCTGCCATCGTTCGCGATCACCCGCGTGACGCTCAGGCTGGACAGGCCCTCATGCTTTCGTCGCCATCCCACTGTTCGTGCTTTTGGACTGCGGAGCATGGCATAGGGCAGTGATCACGACCATGGCGATCACGATGCTGTGAGCGGCGTGATTGGCAAAGTGCGCGAGAGACACGGCAGGCTGACGTACCGTTTGCCCAAGCCATGGTTTCTCACAGTCTCCTTCGCCAGAACACGCGCAGGACGGTCGCCTGCACAGAGAGCTTGTCACGTCCCGCCATCCATTCACCACCGTCTCGCGACCGGTCCGTGATCGCGCCTGATCATCTGTAACATACCCGCACCTGATGCCGTTCCATTGCATGCTGGCGTATTCCGGCGCACATCAAGCGATATTCAAACGATACGAGGCTGCGATGGTGTACTCGCAGGCCGCAGAGGCCGACCGTTACCTGCCGCGGATGATGAGGTCGATCTAAGGGAGCGTCTCGCATTCGCCGTCTGGTTCAGAGGTCTGAGGTGGGCGGTGACGGTCGCATTCCATGGCGTTCGCTCTAGGTTGCTTAAGGTCACCCTGTCAGCCGATGTGCGAGGTCTGACATTAGCCCACACAAGACTTACCATGCCCCTCAAAAACCCGCATGCAGCCCAATGTGTGCGGTGTTGACCGCGTGCTTGATCCGTTGAGGTCCTGCTTGATATGGACGGTGAGTGGCAATCCGACGCGTCTGATCTGGAACGCGCTCACGTTAGTTTGATGGCAGCGTGCGCTTGAGCCTAACATGGAGGAAGACGGTCGGAACGCGAAGTGCGTCGACTCTTGCGGCTTGGTCAATGTCCACACAGAAGATGAGGGCCCGAGGCGACGCGCGATGACAGACAAAAAGCAGAAACGCGTACCACGGACGTGCGAGAAGGATGTTCGACGCGCACGCGTGACTTTGCCATCACAGACGGCGGCGGTCAACGTGCCTTGGACGCGCACGCGGCGATGTTGATGAGCGGATTTCGATGTTTCGCTCCTGCGCAACGGGTGGGTCAATTCACGCACGGCTCATT